TATGAAAATATTTTTGTTTTAGAATTTTCCTTGGATCTAGTGCAGGTGATTGTAACCTTGTTATGTTTGTGGGTGATCTGGATGTGAGAAAAGATTTTTCGTGTTTGGTTTTTTTTTTTTTTTTTTAAAAACTAACAAAGAACTAATTAAGTCAAAGCTAAGGAACTGAATTAAAAGTTTGCATTGCACATGTGAACTAATCTTTTTACAATGGTATCTTTCAAAAGCTGTGTAAGAACGCCATTCATGCCAGGTCTCACCCAGCAAATCCTTCCTAGAAAAGCAACCGCATGAAGATTGGTCATGAGCAAGCAATGAAGACTTTCAGGGAACAGGTTCTGTACGGGCTTCTTGTTTGCCTACTAAATCATCAACCTTCAAAAAAAGCCCATCCGTAGCCTTAACAGGCGCTGGCTGCAATAGGTGTGTCAGCAGTACTTCATGCTAAGAACAGCTTTTACGGGATTAGAGTTTTTAAGTCACGGTACCATGGAGCTCTTAGCAGTAAAGGACCACTGGTTTAATGCAACACATTCTCTAATGTCCTTTTATGCCACATGCTGATATGTCCTGAATCTCTGAGGATGCTAAAATGAAGAAAACTAACTGTTCAGGAGTAGGTAATTTTTGAAGCAAAATGGCTGTGTGTGCTTTAGGAGCAGTGACTGCATTGGAGGGCTTTCTTCAGGTCTTGAAATATTAATGATCTTGGCTTAATATAGTAGAAAACAAAATACAGTGCATGGAACAGGGGGGAAAAAAATCCTTGAATTACAGACTGTTGACCTTGCAGTACCCACTGTGTCCATCTATTCCCTTTTAAACCACTGAATCAGAAAAAAAAGTGAGAAGGAGGAATGGTCACAAAAATCTTTACCTGTGACACTTTCCTACCTTTACAACAGCATGTTACAGCCTGAGCAGGATCTTCAGCTTTGTACTGCATTGCTTATCTTCTAAGTATTTTAACACGAGGAAGATACAAAAGACAGCTCTTCGTTTAATAATTCCTGTGAACTGCGATGTTCGTATTAACAGTAATGTTAGGTTTTGCATGTTTTATTTTAACAGCCTTGAGTAATAGGGAGAATTTTGCTGATAAGAGCAGTCAGCCTGGTCTCCTCGTGTGTTCTGTTTTTCTACGCCTTATCTTTATATATGGCAGCGAGATTCCTCCTGTCAGTGTCTGTCCTGGTCATATACAGGCTTCAGTGTTATTTCTGATCTGAGCTGTGTCAGTGAAAACTGGGAATGGTATCTCGGATCCAAATCTGCCACTTGACTGCCTCTGTTGTTAAACCAGGCACAAGAGGATGTGTAACAATAGTACAACTTGCTCACCAGATATTGCAAATCACATCAAAAAATGAAAGGTAATTTTCCATGGTGTAGTGTGGTTTGTTTTTTTGTTGTGGTTTTTTTTTCTTTTTTTTTTTTTTTTTTCTTCCTGGGCAATTCACATCCCGAGCAGAATTAAGCTTTTACATGAGTTGCCTTTGTGTACTGCCCGGCTGATAGGCCATACCCAGTGGGTTTGTATTTGTGCTCGGGGACTAACTGTCTCTGATGTGGGGAGGCTGGGCTTGACCCCCATGATTCTTCCTGCCAAAGATGTGGTTTCTGATTTTAATCGAAACCCCAAGGCCGTTTGAAGCATGGCCAAAAAGCACCTTGCAAGTTGAACCTTATCTAATAACGTGATGCATGTAAACTCTGGAAGCATAAATCATAGTCACTTGAGGAATGTGTTTTTGTAAGATCCTCTGGTCCAGTGACAGCCACAGCGAGCAACAGCAGAGCAATCTCACAGTGCTCTTACAGATGGTGCATGGCACGTTGTAAAGTTGGGACTCGTTAAGGAAATTCCATAAATGGCTTTGGTTAATAAGAACGAAGTAACTTGCTGTTTTATAAATGTGTTACTAAAATCCTGCTCCATTTCTCATTGGAGGGCTTCGTAAGAGAAAGAAGGAAAGAATGATGGGGGCTAAGGGAAGGGTGAAACAGAGAGAGTCAGCCCTGGCTGTGTGTGGGGCTGCGTCCCGTGTCTTGGAGCCTGTGCATAGCAGGGGAATGCTAAAGGTAGTGTGGGTGATAAATGATGAGATGTGAGAGTGAGTCACACAGCAAATACTAGGAACAACCTTCCCTTTTTACACGTTTGCCTGCCTGTGTATTTTCTCTGTCCTCTGTAGCGCTGAAAGCCAGTGGTGATGGTGGGCTTTTATCTCAAGCCAAGGGGGAAATTTCTAGGATGACATACTTGTTAGCCATTATTAAAATGTGTTACTAATGATGCTAATGAGTTTTTTCCAAGTGATGTAAAAGTAGCCATCCATATAAGCATTGCATTTATGAAGATGATGTCACCAAAAGCTCGCCAACTGCATGTGGGAGCTGGTGGCATTGGTGCAGTTACTGCTATGCCCTGGCTTTGAGGAGGGGAGAGCATTGCTGATTTCCTCCCTTGGGGAGAAAGAGCCAGATGAATTCTGCCTTGCCGGGCGGGAGATGTGCCATTTCCGGGCCTGTTAGGCTGAGGGCCTCGCTGCCAATCCCAGTGGGTTCCTGTCCCACTCCCTCTTAAAAATTGGCAGTGTCTGACTGTCAGCTGCCATTCCTTAAGTGGTCATAGAATAAACCAATTGCACCCCTTTTGTCATGCGCGCTCTGTGTGTGTGTGAATGCAGGTGGACATGGGTTAAGCAACATGCAACTCCACAGTAAGCACAAAGAGGCAGCTGATTTTCTGGCAGTGTCAATAGAAGAGTATAATTTTTTTAATCATCTCCAAGCTAGCTTTTAAAATGGCTCTTGTTGGAATTAGAAATCGGTATCCCCTGACATAGGATTACTCATTAAGAGTGTGTCGATTGTTAATTCTTCACCTGGGGCTAAGAGGACATCATTAGATCTCTTTGAAATGTCTCCTGCCTTGATTTTGAATAAGTAAGCCAGCAATTTATGATCACAGCCTGGGCAAGTAACACTCTCCCTTCCTGTTCTTCCATCTAGCTTGCAAAATCGGATACTACAAGGCTCTCTCGACAGATGTTGCTTGTGCCAAATGCCCGCCTCACAGCTATTCCATCTGGGAAGGCTCTACCTCCTGCACCTGCGATCGGGGCTTTTTCCGAGCTGAAAATGATGCTGCCTCCATGCCCTGCACTCGTAAGTTGGTCTTTGAACAGTTTCTTTCCTTTTTATTATCAGTTTCTTCTCCTGTCTGTCTTTTGCTCTGTATGTGGGAAATATTGCCTGGAGATCTGTGTCTCTAAGAAGGGTCCTGCTTCTGAGAGCAGCATTCAGTAGCTCTTACAGCCTTTTGCAAGATTCAGTCTGCATTTTGGATCACATTTCTGGGAGAGAAAGCGTTAGTTCTGAGCCCTGAATTCCTAACAGTGACATGGTTGCACTGACCCTTGAGAGCTTACAGTCTAAACAAATCGGGAGACTGGGAGGAGACAAAGCCGCAAAATCATAGAATCATAGAATGTTCGGGGTTGGAAGGGACCCCTAGAGGTCATCTAGTCCAACCCCCCTGCAGGAGCAGGGACACTGCTAACTAGATCAGGTTGCTCAGAGCCCCGTCCAGCCTGGCCTTGAATGTTGCCAGAGATGGGGCCTCCACTACCTCTCTGGGCAACCTGTTCCAGTGTTTCACCACCCTCATTGTAAAGAATTTCTTCCTTAAAAGAAGAGGAGTGATTTGCACACCTCAGTAACTGAGTTGGAAATAAAACACAGTCTGAGGACCTGTTTCCAGTAGATCATATCACCTTTCATCTCTTTAAATACTGGTATTTGTAGAAATTGGGAAAGCTTTTCTCATAATTGTGTGAGCTAGGGTAAATAGGTAATATTTATAATCTCATTATATATCTAGTTTGCTCAAAATAGAGCTGGTAACCTTTAGGAACATAAAAGTGTTCCTCTGAAAGGGGTGGTAATAATAAATCTTAAACCTTAACAAAAGAAACACACAAAGTATGGTTTATTTTATCCTTTGCAGTAAATACATTATGTACAGCAAATTGAACTTGCTTTAGTTCCACCAAAACGCCTTCAGCAGGGAGAACAAGAGGTGTAGCACACTGAGCACACCATGGGGTTGCTGGAACAACTCCTTGCCCTATCTGTTGGTTGATGGCTTACGCAGCCAAAGACCTGGGATTCCAGGCATGCTCTGGTACTAAATCGTGATCATCCAGTTCTTCAGTTTTCATTTCTATAGGAGCAGAGCGGTTTGAAAGTGAAAGGGGATATTGATGTTATGGAGTCATAGTAATTTGGTTGGAAAAGACCTTTCCACTACTTTCCACCACTAAATGATGTCCCTAAGCACTTCATCTACCTGTCTTTTAAATACCTCCAGGGTTGGTGACTTGGCCACTTCCCTGGGTAGCCCATTCCAGTGCCTGATAACCCTTTCAGTGAAGAAAATTTTCCTGATACCCAATCTAAACTTACCCTGGTCCAGCTTGAGGCCATTTCTTCTCATCCTATCACTTGTTACTTGGGAGAAGAGGCTGACACCCGCCTCTCTACACCTTCCTTTCAGGCAGTTGTAGGGAGTGATAAGGTCTCCTCTCAGCCTCCTTTTCTCCAGAATAAATAACCCCAGTTACCTCAGCTGCTCCTCATAAGACTTGTGCTCCAGACCCCTCATCAGCTTCGTTGCCCTTCTCTGGACACGCTCCAGCACCTCAATGTCCTTCTTGTAGTGAGGGGCCCAAACCTGAACACAGCATTCGAGGTGTGGCCTCACCAATGCCATGTGTGGCTTTCCCTGAAAGCTATTGGAAATGCTTCCAGATTTTAGGAGTTCAACTGTATATTTATGTAGAGAGTGTATGTGTCTGTGAGTGAGGGAAGGCTGAGATATTTCTTTTATAACATTTTAATATATTCCAAATTCATTTTGTAGAGATGACTCACATTTATTTAAATCTTAATTTCTCCCTTACAAGGCAGAAACAAACTATGTCCATAACTAAGCCAGCACTCATCCATTCCCCACTCCCCCTTGATTCCAGCTCTTCTTCAGTGATTGCCCTCTTTTCAGTTGTGGGTTTTGCTGGGGAGAGGTTAAGCAGGTCTGGGCATAGCCAGGAGCACCTGCTTTTGCTTAGTAGGAAAGCAGAGAGGTCTATATCCCTTGCCAAATGTTGACTGGGGATGGAGGTCTAACTGTATTGTGAAATCTTGCTGAAGTGGGTAGGAACATGCTTTTTATAATATAATTTACACTAGGAGATATAAAGCTTGACCATTTTGATAGGAAACATGTCTTTTTGCAACAATAAAACTATTGTTCGGAATACACCCTAAGTAACATTATACCAGCAAAAGTTTCTCATAAAGCTCTGGTCCTAGTGAGTGATATCCTGACCAAATTGAAATCAAATTAGTAATCAACTGGTTGAATTTAAGTAGGTATATGCAGTAAGTGAAGTATGAGGAGAGAGAAAAATGCTTCCAGATGGGGGAATTGTGAGCAAATGATATGTATGTTTGCTTGTATTGCAAAATGTACCCCTGTAAGCTTAGCCCTTTTTTGTCAATTCTTGGACCTACTTCTGGCACCCTTCCCCATTACCGTCTTTGGAGGTCAGTCAGAGTTGCAATCCCTGACCTTGATCTTTTACCCTGAAAATACAAAGAGGGAAGAAGAGAAGGCAAGGGCCATCGTGCTGGCAACATTCAAGGCCAGGTTGGACAGGGCTCTGAGCAACCTGATCTAGTTAGCAGTGTCCCTGCTCCTGCAGGGGGGTTGGACTAGATGACCTCTAGGGGTCCCTTCCAACCCCGAACATTCTATGATTCTATGATTCATCTCTGCAGCAGTCTAGGAGGAGTCGGCATGTGGAGGCAAGCCAACACCACAATCCCATGGACAGCTGGTCTTGGAAAACAAGATGCCCCATTTCATAGTTGCTGGAGGTCCCATTTTATAGCTTCAAATTTTGCTGTAGTTTAAGGTCTCCTTTTTCTGTGATCTAAGGTGAAGGAAGACACAGGTTATTTCTGAGCTGGCTTGTGGGGCAGCTTTGCTCTCCCACCCACTGATGTGCTCAGTAATATTCCCTCTTTGAGGTCTGCCTTAGTAGTATTTGAACATTGCTATGATGGTGGTACCTGCACAGGCACAAAATGCAACCCTGCATGCATGGTGCACCTCTGCGTTGTGCAAGGGGCTCCTGAGGGGGCTGTTTGTTCACCGTGCTCCCCACACCAAGCAGCCTTCTGCCCTTGCGCTTGAGGCAAGTGACAGAAGGAATTTAAGGGCCTCTGCTGAAGGAAGCCCCTCCGGAAGAAGCTCCCCATTTGTCTGCCTTTCCTGACAAGATGTGGAGACAGAAGGGAGCGTAAACATCAAAGGTTCTTTCAGACGGATTCAGACTCTAATCAGTTCTTACCAGTTGGTTAAACCAGGTGACAAACCCAATTCCCTTGTGCTGACAGCCATAATAATCAGGCACCTTCTTTGTTCATTATGTTCTCTTTAACCCTGGTATTCTCATTCAGCCCTGCATTTAGTAATCGCTCAGTGTGACGGCGCACTAATGAAGAAATAAAACACAGTATCTGAGATCCATTCTTCTAGCAAAAAGATAGACTCTGCTCCACTGGCTTGTAAAATCAGGTTTCTGTTCACTTGGAGAACTATTAGACCAGGTGAATAAAAGTAACATTGGGTAATTTGGAGAGAACACCTGGAATGGACTGTGGATTGATCCTTTCTTTATTATTTCTAAGCACTTTTTAAGATGAAGAACTTCAGCCTTCTTAGGATGTGTTTTTGCAAAGCTTTGACCCTTGGCTATTGATTTCCTTTAGTAATAAACTGTCTGGCCTCGTCACTTATCTCGCCTTCTAGGTTGGGGGAGGAAGACTGTTATGACTTTCCATTAGCCTGATTGTGCTAGTGGATGAAAGGGAATTGGAGAATTCCCCTTCCTTTTCCTTTCTCGCAATTCCCATGGTAAGTAATAAAAGCAACACCTACTTCCTGATGCGCTGGTCAGCAGAGGTGCTCCAGAGTTTTCTCCTTCCATAATGCCACTTTCTGCCATCTCCATGCATTGTTGTGTTGTAAAAACTGTGCCTAACCTTCAGGCAAGCCAGGTATCCGATCTAAACAGATAACTCGAACTCTAGTTTTAGTATTCTGCTCTATTTTAGCTCTTCTATAGCGAGTAGTTATGTCTGGCTTGAATCTCTTACAAGTAAGAGCAGAATGTGGAGGGACATCAGCACAGGAGACAGTGGAGCGGGCTGTGTCGGAAGGCCAGTACAACCTGACAGGCATGTGTTTGGTGATGCATCTTTTCCCTCAAGCTTGCCTCATTGGGATAATCATCAACGTGTCTGTCACCATGAAGGAGCAGAGCCGCCCTGGATCTGCTGCTTTGACCAAACTCAGGAATTTAGACTTTCAACTCTGAAGCACAGTGGGCTTTTCAGCTGTGTGCTTGGGCATGGAGATGGTATGATTGACCTGTAATACACTTGAGCACAAACTGTGGAAAACACAGATGCCTCTCCCTTTTGAAAGCATCGCAAAAATAATAAGGCAACTATTCTGACCTTCATTATCTTCCAGTACTTGCTGAGAGGATGAGTCTTTCATAAGGTTAGCAATCTAATGGAGAATAAATTGCCTTACCGACATGCAAATCCATGAGGCTGGAAAACAATCAGTCTCAATCATGGTCCCCATCCCTGAGCTTCCTCCTCCGTAAGGAGATACTCAGTGAATTGCAGCCTGGTGCAGGCAGGTGCAGTTCCCACTCAAGTTAATGGGCATTGGTCCTGCGTCCCCACCATTAATGAGTCGGGTTCTCTAACTGTTTCTTAACAAACAATGCTCACATTATGAGTGAGTATGGAACGGTTTTGTATTGTTTATATTGTCTGTTCAATTCAGATTATTAATGATTTTTAATTGGGAGCCCTTTACAAAAGAGAGATTACCAGCATAGACTGTCCAGCTTGAAATCTGTCTTGGTAAATGACCCTGAATAATTTAGTCCGTTGTGCCACCCAAACAGTAACTGATTGATTGATATTTTGGCATGGCCTGAAATATTTCTAAAACGGTTGCATTTAAGACAGTTTATACCGGAGAAGCTTAGAGATAATGAGAGCAAATTTAGTGAGATGCAAGA